ATTTTTATTATTAGTAACATGATTAGACGCACCAGAATCAAAGACCCAAGGTCCAAGAGAAGATGACTTAGAGAGGCAAATAGATGAATTGTTAGTGTGTGCAATAGAAGCAGTAGAATCTGAGTTATGATAATTCTGGTATCACCTGAGGAAATCATCGTAGTTTGGCGTAAAGTTCTGAGTACCATGAGTATCTCAAAAGAGAAAATATCACGCAAAACAGGTGAAAAATGATCTGTTTGAACTGGATCACAGTTTTCCGTGAGTGAAAAATAAAAATCTGAGACCAGATCTAGAACAGTTGCACGGTGGCAAGTGGGGCAGTGGAAAAAATGTCGGGATCGGCCGGATCGGAGGAGGCACTTTTGCCGGTAGGGTTAGTTTGCCTAAAGGTCGTCGGAAACGCTAGCGACAGCGGAGGAAGTTCAGTGGTAACCACAAAAATTTGAAAATTGATGTCGGAATGAGTCATAGCAGCGTATGGAAGGCAAATCGGAGTTATGACACGGTTCGCTAAATATTTCTCACCGGAAGACAATGGGTCAACCAGATAAAACACGATGAAGAGTTGTCTCTCAGTAGGCTCTGGATACCTTGTTGAAATACGAGAGACTAAGACATTTGAATAAATCGTGTGTCGAATAGCACAACGGAATATGAATTATATAGGAAAAAAAATACAAATCGTAGTATTAATTACATAAATATCCTACTTTATTCTAGAATATACTAAAGAATATTCTTAGAGAATATTCTCTTTTTATATATACATGTAAATATTAACATGGTATCAGAGTCTCGTTTAAGATCCGGTGGGCCATTTACTATCAGATTTCCACTATCAGGCCATCCACCATTTATTTCACGCTCTAGATGTCCAGTCTTGGACGTGAGAGGGTGTGTTAAGAGTCCTACATCAGGAATATATGGCATGAGCTTGTCCTTATAAATGGGGGCAATCCTCACCCTACAAGTCGGTTTTGTAGGATTGAGTTAGGTTCAACCACACTTTTAAAGATGATATTAGAGTTTGGTTTAAGATCCGTTGGGCGACTCGTTATCAGGCCACCCACCATTTAGTTTCACGTTTCAGACGTTCATCCTGGACGTGAGAATGGGTGTTAAGAGTTCCACATCAGGCAATATATGGCCTGGACATGTACTTATAAGTGGGGACAATTCTCACCCTATAGTCGGTTTTGTAGGGTTGAGTTAGGTCTAACTATATTTTTTAAGAAAAACAAATGGTTCTGAATCTTGTAAAAATTTCATTATTAAATTGTAAGTTGTGTCAACTAGGAAAGCATGTTCGCTCTTCTTTTCCAAATAAAGTTGAAAGTCGAGTTGATTCTCTTTTTTATGTTATCCATTCAGATATATGGGGACCAAGTCGTCTGCCTTCTAAGGGTTACCGATATTTTGTTACTTTCATTGATGAATTCTCTCGATGCCCTTGGTTTTTCTTAATGAAAGAACAATATGAACTTTTGTCCATTCTCACCACTTTTGTCAATGAGGTTAAAACCCAATTCGGTAAGAAAATCAAAATTCTTAGAAGTGATAATGCAAAAGAATATTTTTCTTCTAGTCTTTCTTGTTTGTCATCACAGTGTATTCTTCATCAATTAAGTTGTCCTCATACCCCTCAACAGAATGGCATAGCTGAAAGGAAGAATAGGAATCTTGTTGAAACTGCTTGGGCCTTGTTACTTAATGCAAATGTACCTATCTGACATTGGGGTGATGCAGTTTTGACATCCTGTTTTTGTATTAATCGAATGCCTTCTTCCTCTCTTGATCATAAAATACCACATTCCATTTTATTTCCCAAAGAACCATTGTTTCATATTGCTCCTCGATATTTGGATGCATGTGTTTTGTTTATGACTTGTCCCCAAGTCTTGATAAGCTCTTTGCCCGTGTCGTAAAATGTGTTTCTGGGGTACTCAAGGTTACAAATGTTATTCTCCTATGCAGAATCGTTACGACATTTCTGCAGATGTAACATTCTTCGAAGAAAAGTTTTACTTCTCACTATCCATAGTTGAGTCTCATACTACTCAAGGAGTTTTTCCAATTCCTTATCTTGGTCCATCATCTTTCCTTGTCCCAAAATCAATTTTGACTACTAATAATTCTGAAAATTCTCCTCTTGAGCTATCTCAAAGATCACCCATCGCATACCAACGTCGTCCACGTGTTGCTTATATAGAATTGGAAGGCACTGAAAGACGATATGAATCATGTCTTGCACCAATAGATGACCATACTACAAACCTTCATGGAGAAAATGTTGACTTGCCTGCCGATTGCTCTTCGAAAAGGTACTCGGTCTACTAGTAATCCCCATCCTATTTATAACTTCCTAAGTTACCATTGTCTCTCTCCTTATTATTCTTTTGTCATCTATATCTTCTATTTCCATTCCTAAAAAGGCACCAGGACAAGGACTACTTTATGAAGATAAAGGAGACACTCAAATAGTTGGATTTTGTGATGCAGATTGGACTGGTTTGCCTATTGATAGGCGTTTCACTTCAGGATATTGTGTTCCTATTGGTGGAAATCTTGTCTCTTGAAAGAGCAAGAAGCAAATGTGGTTGCAAGGTCTAGTCCAGAGACTGAATGTAGAGTTAGGGCTATAATCTCTTGTGAACTTACTTGGATTAAACAACTTCAAGAGTTGAAGTTTAGAGATACTCAACTGATGAAACTATGTTGTGATAACTTGGAAGCTCTACATATAGCTTTCAATTCGGTATTCCATGAGAACTAAACATATTGAAATTGTCATTTTGTTCGTGACAAAGTTCTTTCTAAAGAAATCATCACTAAATATATTACCTCCAATGACCAACTTGCATATGTCTTCACTAAATCTCTAAGGGGATCGAGAATTTAATACATTTGTTCCAAGCATGGAGCATTTGACTTATATGCTCCAGCTTGAGGGGGAGTGTTGGAATTAGTAGCAATTATGAAATATGGGAATTGGTAACAATTATTAGTGTGAGAAGTTGTAACAATCTAGTTAGTCTTATCTAAGAAATAATATTCATGCATCTAAGAAATAACATTATTATTAATCTCATTGTAAATGTAAATTGCAATTATTTCTAGTAATATATATATAAATAGATCAGCTGAGTGCAAATCACTCAAGCATTCCACAAATCTCTTAATCCTCTGTCAAAGTCTTTTAACAGTGTAAACTTGGGTAATTTTGATGGTAATGGTTTTGGTAGGAAAAGTTGCTGGAAAATTTTCTGGAAGAGGTAGCTGTGGCTAGAAATCTATCCAAATGACGCGGGAAATGTACCACTGAGATTATAATAAAAAACATTTACATAAAAATATTCGGGCCATAGTTAATAGTTGGTTTTAATTTGTGTACAAGAATAGAATTGTAAATTTTAGTAGAGTTTTAGACTTTGGGCAGCTTGGCAATGGAATAGTGACGGGATAAGTCACGAAAGATGATACTGCTCTTATTCCATGTCGAAGTTATGGGGTTTTAAACAAAAGAAGGGAAACAAATAAAGACTTTGCATTATGCTTATGGCTTGGTATTTTGTTTACAAAAGTGATATGCCCATTACCCAAGTGTACAGGGAAGAGAGAAGAAAGGTCTTGAGGGATAAGGGAAGAGGCTGGTGGGCCTAAGAAACAAAGCAGTCAGTGTAATTCAACTTTTGCACTCAAAAGCGAAAACATCCTTTGAGTCTACCCTTTGTTGCTGGTATTTGAGGTTTTGTTTGAAGAACCTAAGAATTTTAATTTGGCGTATTTTGGGTTTTCTGAAGATGATATGGACAAAGAGGATAAAGATTGATTAAAGATGATGATTTTCTGGGTTTCTTCTTTGATGAAGATGATAAAGAAGAACCCAAATAATTTTTATTTGGAATTTTCATTTTCAATAGAAAGTATAATTTGCTGATTAGGAGTTGCTACATCAGCAATGTTACAGACACGTCAGCATCTAACAACCACATGGACTTTATTTTAAGGGAGTTATGGAAACTCTAAAAACGAACAATGACATGCACATTTTTGTGTTTTAAAGGACCAATATGGGAAAAAAGCTTTGAGGTTTAATCCGGAAAAGGTCAAACTTAAAGGACTGCAAGAGTACTTTCTCCACAGAAAATTCAAGATGGAAATAGTTTCTAGTCTTGTACCAGATATTCACCATAAATCTTATTTTAACTATGATTCTCATCTCCAGTGAAGCTGAATGTACTAAAGTTTTAATAAGAGGTCTTATTGAATGCTTAATGGAAATATGCAACAGGATTATTTTTTGGGATAGTCCTACGGTTTGGCTTATTTTTTTAGGACTACCATTCTGGGGGGCTGCATTCTCTGGGCTGGGGGGAAAGAAGAGTAGATCTTTCCATCTTGGTAAGAAAAGTGGCAAAATACAAATGGTGCCTACAAGATGCTGGAAAAGATGACAACAGGAATTTTTAAATTAGAGAGGAAACAATGCCGAGAGAGATAGGGTGGCTAAAGTATGTGAATGTTTGGGGAAAAGATCATTGGTTTGGAGACAAGGGCACTATTGTAGTAGAGATCCCTATTTTATGGTGCTTTGCAGTAGAATAATAGGTCATGGAGGATGATACCGTGTTGATACTGCATTGAAGTTAACATATATTAAGCAAAAAAGAAAGAAAGAGAAAAATACTATGAATTATGATTATGCAACTCTTAATTATACTAAAACTAGACTCCTATTTTTAATTAAATAAGGAAACTTATCATGATTACAAGTAGATGCAGAGTGATAATCTAAGATATATTAAGATAAGGTCAAGATATTATAGGATATTTTAAATAATCCCTAGCAAAATCCTATAATTTATGGGTTTTTTTTGTTCCTTCTTGTTTATGTACATATCCCTAGATAAAGGATTTCGTGTTGAAAAATTCCTTGCTGTTTTTTTGCCAAGGAATGAAAAGTTCCTTGCTAATTCTAGCTGTTGCTTATTTATTAGGTTTTCATTGGACTTGGATATTGCAGCTCCCAAGATTACTATTCCTACTGATTTTTGTCCTGACAACGCCCATGCTACAAAGCTTTTGTTGGATCTAGGGAATTTGATGATACGAACACAGGTTGATACTCCTGATAATTTTTTAATGTATTTACTTGGGCTTCTTTAATCCTTTTTAATTTATTTTAAATGTGCAGGATGACTATCAAAAAGAATCAGCCGAGGATAATATGTATTTGCGATTTGATTTGGTTTTAAGTGATGTCTCTGCATTTTTGTTTGACGGCGACTATCATTGGAGCCAAATTTCTCTGAATACAAAAACCCGTTCTACAACTGGTGATTTCTATCCCGTTATTGACAGATGCGGAGTCATTCTGCAACTTCAACTGGTAAAGTTCTCGGCATGTCTGAATTGTTCGTTACAGATCTCTCTCTTTCATAAGAAGCATTCCAATTTTTTGTCACCATGACCAGATTCAGTCAGAGACTCCTCATTATCCTTCAATGCGTCTTGCTGTGAGGCTTCCAACATTAGCCTTTCATTTTTCGCCTGCTCGGTATCATCGACTGATGCATGTAATAAAGATCTTTGAGGAGGGGGATGGTGAGAGCTCAGAGTTTCTTCGTCCTTGGAATCAAGCTGACCTAGAGGGGTGGTTATCTCTTCTAACATGGAAGGTAGTGGTCCCTTTCATCTTCGTTGGCTAAGCTCTTGGCGATTTTTGTTGTCTATGTAACATCGTCATCTGACATACTATATTGTGTGCCTAAAAAAAATGTAATAGGGTGTCGGAATTAGGGAAGCTGTGTGGCAGAGGAGATACTTCTGCTTAGTTGGGCCTTTTCTTTATGTACTTGAAGGCCCCGACTCAAGATCTTACAAGCAGTACACCAGGTGCAAAAGCTTTCTTTCTCGTGTCTTGTTATTAGTCTATTTATGTAAAGTTTGATTTATCATATGTAAAAAAGTTGATAAGGGTTCTGCGCATATTGTACTTCAAAAATAAAATAAAATAATGTTACCTCCGTCTTTAAATATAAGACCTGTTTGAGAATTTTTCTGGTTCCTTTTTATAAGATCCTCTTTGAATTTTCAACTATATTATTAATTACTACTTCTTTAGAAACATCCCCCTATTTATTTTAGACAAATTCTTAGGTACCCTTTAGTTTTAGTTGGGTACCGGCGCCCTTAGTGTTAATTGATTTAAAATTTTAATTTTTTTAAAATAAAATAATAATAAAAAATTATGTGGAAGGGAATATCCTCATTTGATTGGAGGAAGGTACCGGTACCCAACTAAATTCTAGGGTACCGGAGTGTTCGCCTTTATTTTATATCTTTTTTTTTTTTTTTTTTTGCAATCAACAAAAAATACTACCACCATTTTTTTGTGAGGGGGAATATAGACCAATTCTCCTCTCTTGAAGTATAAGCTTGTAAAAACAATAGAAATTATCAACAAAATTAATACTACCACCAACTTTCTAAATTCTTGTGATTTTGTCAAGAGGGTAAAATCTTAGTCTATATTAGTATCTATACTGTTGAAATGGGCAATGGGGGAAGCTGTCTTTATGCTTTTTTTTTTTCAACCAAATTATGTGATTCTTTGTTTTAATTCCATTTAGAGTTCTAGTTAGTTACTTCAAACTATTATATCTGTTATGGTAGCGTTTAGCAAGATATCGCATGGGTTAGGAGTATTCTTGAATGGATTTTATGCAAACTTTATTATATTTTTGCAGCGTTCCCTAATTTTATCAAGATGACGTTTCATCACATGAGGATATCCTTGATACTTGCAGAGAGTTCGGCACTCATTATTTCCCCATGAGAATATAATTTTTTTTCTATTGTGTTTGTTTTTGCCTGTGTGGGTTTAAGCTTGCTCAGCAAGCCTTTATTGTTAGTTCCCTTGCTGCCAGGCTGGCATCAGTTAGTTAGGGGGATATGCCAGCGGGCACTTGTAGTTATACTAGTCTTTCTTCACACACAAAATGTAGTATAAGTCTTTCTTCACCAACATCAGATGATTTTTTCAGATTACATTACTTTTGTAGTAGACTTTTTTAGTCGATTCTTAAGTACGCGTTTGAAGTGTTTCTTTGATCAGACATTTGAATCTTAGCTTCATATATTTTTTTAACGGCCTTTGCAATCTGATTGTATAGCCTACGAGGGAAACAAGTATATCAAGTTCCACCAGAATTTGTTGGTAATGTAGAGCATGTTTTGGTTGTTTGTAGTCCTACACGACCCAATAATAAGGTAATCAGCATCAGTTATTTGAAAGGCGAGTATTATATTTTCTGTTATTACATGAAAGTTTGAACGTCTATTAATAGCAATCACTAACCGGGTGTAGGTTGTGGAGGATGCAAATGCACTGATTTTACGATGTGAATCTGAGGAGTCAATGAAAACCTGGCATAGTCGCCTACAAGGCGCTATCTATTATGCATCGGTTTGTTGGTCTCGGTTTCTCTTTCTTTGTTTATGATGAAAATAGTTTTATGCTTGATCCTGTTATAATTTTAGAAGTGAGTAGCAAAAAATTATTTGTATGTCTTGCAGTATGCTTTGTCCATGTCTAAGATCTATTTCTGATAAAGTGATGATTATGATAGAAGTTACATGATTGAGTATTTACAGGCTACTCCTATCTTAGTTAAAGTTCTACTGTTACTGCTGTTGCAACTGTCTGTAACAGAATTTGTTACTAATTTTAAAACAGAAGGATGCAGCTGATTATAATAATCAAACTGTAATCCATAAGAATCTAAGGTGGGGAAAGGTTGGACCAAGCCCCAATCTACTAAACCGGAGATATATGATAATTAATACAGGAGTACAGAAACATTAATGCAGCATATATAAATATTGTTAGGACCTACTAACTTTTTTATCAGGAAAGCATAAGCATCTGAAGTTCAGTCCTTTATTTATTTTAGGATTTGCTTGGAAGTTTGGAGGGAAAGGGAGGGTAGGACTTTGAAAAAAGGGAATGATTGGGTAAAAAGAATGGGGTGACTTGGGTGAAGAGAGTTTTAAGGGGTTTATTTTTATTCAGAATACAAAACCTGCATAGTTTGAGGGAACTAAAAAATTGTATTGTAGGAGGGGTTTGGAGGGTTTAGATAAAATTTTCAAATATTATATGTTTTAATATTTCAAAATTTAAAAATATGTTAATAAATATTCATTTATCATTCTATACAAAATCACTCATTCAATCTATATCTTCTTCAAATTTTATTTTCCTTATTAGAGTGAGATATGAGAGAGAAGAGAGAAAAAGTTAAAAGAGAAAAGAGAGAAACAGATTCTGTTATTGCTTAATTGGAAAGGAGCATTATGCTCTATTTATACAAGAGGAGATGAACATTCAAGAGTTGAATCATTCAAGCTCTACAATTAAGGAAGACTTTTCTTATTCTATTAAATTAAGGCTGGACTTAATTATTCTATAGTGCTGATTATTCATATTCTAAGATATAACTCTAATACTCCCCCACAAGCTCAAGGTGGCTGCAAAGGCTGACTTGAGGCAGACAGGTTGAGCTTGCTGCTGAGCTCCATAAATCTTGAACATGAGAGAGGCTTGGTGAGGATGTCAGCCTTCTGGTCAACACCAGGAATGTGGCAGACAGTGAGAGACTTATTAATCACCTTTTCTCTTACAAAAAAGAGGTCAATTTCCATATGCTTTGTTCTTGCATGAAGAACAGGGTTATGAGCCATAGCAACTGTGCTCTGGTTGTCACAATAGATGGTTGGAGTTGTCAAGGGAATTTTTAGTTCAGCTAGCAAAGTTTGAACCCATAAAACTTCAGCTGTGGTGTGAGCCAAGCTGCGATACTCTGCCTCAGCACTAGAACGAGCAACAACAGTTTGCTTTTTGGACCACCAAGAGATCAAATTAGGGCCTAAGTACACAGCTGACCCAGAGGTGGATCTTCTATCATCTGGGTCAGCAGCCCAGTCAGCATCACAATAGGCTTGCAGAGAGAACGGAACAGTGGAGGCTGGAGTGAACAATAAACCAGAGGTGATAGTTCCTTTTAGGTAGCGCAGAATACGCTTGACAGCTAGCCAATGGGACTCCAAGGGGTGTGCCATGAATTGGCATACTTTGTTAACAGCATAGCAGATTTCTGGCCGTGTAATTGTTGCATACTGCAGGGCCCCTACAATGGACCGGTAGTGGAAGGCATCAGACAAGGCAGCAGACCCTGTTTTGATGAGTTTGGTGGAGGAAGCCATAGGAGTAGCAACTGGATTGGAATTCTCCATATCAGTTTTGATTAGCAAGTCCCTTAGGTACTTAGATTGAGTGAGAAGGAGATTTCCATTGGACAATTTCTTCACCTCAAGGCCCAGAAAATAATCCAAGTCACCAAGTTGTTTGAGAGCAAACACATGATTTAATTGTTGAGTAACTTGCTTGATGAGAGGAGGGGAGTTTCCTGTGATGATTATATCATCAACATAAACCAGCATATAAATGACAGCATTGTGATGCTTGTAGATGAAAAGTGAAGTATCACACTTGCTGTTTAGAAAGCCAAAGGATAAAAGAGTGGTTTTGAGTCTTTCAAACCATTGCCTCGGGGCTTGTTTTAGGCCATACAAGGCCTTGTGCAAGTGACAAACCAGAGATGAATTAGGGGCAGTAAATCCAGGGGGTTGCATCATATAGACCTCCTCTTCAAGAATGCCATTCAAAAAGGCATTGTTTATGTCCAACTGCTGCAAAGGCCAATTGTAAGTTAGAGCAAGAGTCAAAATAATTCTAATTGTGACCGGTTTAATAACAGGGGAGAAAGTTTCATTAAAGTCAAATCCATGGACTTGATGGAACCCCTTAGCAACAAGCCTAGCTTTGTACTTATTTACTGTCCCATCAGCATTTTCCTTTACACGAAAAACCCACTTGCAGCCTATTGCTTTCCTGTTAGCAGGCAGTGGTACCAAAGACCAAGTGTTGTTCCTTATCAAGGCACCATACTCCTCTTGCATAGCAGCAAACCACTTAGGATCTTGGAGAGCAGTTTTAACACTCTTAGGCTCAGAATTGACAAGAAAAATGGAAGGATTTAGACGAGGTAAGGGTACACCAGATTTAGTTCTAGTAGTCATAGGATGAGTATTGGTGGGGAGAGGCTGAAGGTTAGGATCCCTAGGAGCATAAATAGAGGAGGAGGATAGTGAAGTGGTAGTAGTAGGCTGATTGTTGGCATTTGAAGAGGGTGAAGGAGTAGGATTAGTGCTGGCTGTTTGTGTTATAGGGGTTGCTGACCCAGAGGCAGTAGGTGTGGGGCTGGAATTGGATTGGGAAGAAGAAGAGGAGTGTGAGACAATAGGTGTGGGGCTGGAATTGGATTGAGAAGAAGAAGAGGAGTGTGAGACAATAGGTGTGGGGCTGGAATTGGATTGAGAAGAAGAAGAGGAGTGTGAGGTAGTGGAAGCAGTAGGAACGGGAAAAACATGAGGGAGAGCTTGTGTGTTAAGGGTTACTTTAGATGAGGAGGAGGATGGAATGGTTGATGAGGGGAGAGAAACATTAGAGAAAAAAAGATCATTGTAAGGAAATTTGGACTCGTTGAAAAGAACATCTTTAGAGATGAATATTCTACCACTTGGAGAGAGACATTTGTAACCTTTGTGAGCTGTAGAGTACCCTAGAAAAAGGCACTCGTGGGATCTAAAGTCAAATTTTTGAGAGTTGTATGGGCGAAGGAGAGGAAAACAAGCACACCCAAAGACTTTAAGGAATTTATAGTCAGGATTTTGATTGAAAAGGACAGCATATGGTATATGTTGATTGAGAGACATGGTTGGTAACCTATTTATTAGGTAGACAGCGGTTAAAAAGGCATGGTCCCAAAATTTGAGAGGTAAAGAGGCATGACTCAAGAGGGTTAAACCAAGATCAACAACGTGTCTATGCTTCCTCTCCACTACACCATTTTGGTGATGAGTGTGAGGGCAAACTAGGCGATGAATAATGCCAAGATCAGAAAGAAACTTTGTAAATGGGCGAAATTCACCACCCCAATCAGTTTGGACAGATTTAATAGGAAATCCAAATTGTAATTCAGCCATGACTTTGAATTGTTTAAAGATAGTTAAGGCTTCAGATTTATTTTTGAGCAAATAGATCCAAGTAAATCTGGTGTATGCATCAACAAAGGTGATGTAGTAGGTAAAGTTTTGGGAGGATTTGACTGGGGCAGGACCCCATAGGTCACTGAAAATTAATTCAAGAGGAGAGTGATATTGAGTTTGTGACTGAGGGGAGTGCAGCCTATGTGCCTTTCCCATACAGCAGGCAGAACAAAAGATAGATTCAGCTTTATTAGAATAAGGAATATTACATTGAGCTAAAACAAGTCTCATAGTATTAGAATTTGGATGACCAAGGCGTAAATGCCAAGTATGTTGAGAATTATATGAGTTATTAGCTGATACATTTTGATTAGAAACTGAAACCCTATCACTAGTGCTGGAATCAGATCTTGAAACATGAGCATTAGAGTCTAAGGTGAGACATGAGACTTGACTTGTTGAAGGAGACTTAAGAAGCTGAAGATGGGAAAATTGGTACAGACCATCACTTCCTACACGACCTTGGAGCAGAATTTCATTGGTAGCCTGAGATTTGACATAGCACATATCAGCATGAAACTCAAAGAAAACTCTATTATCAAGACAGAATTTGCTGACACTTATCAGGTTCTTTGTAATAGAAGGAACAAGCAGTAAATTATGAAGAGCTAATGGAGTGTTAGGTTTAGAATGAGAAGGAAAATAAGAAGAGCCTGAAGAGTGAATGTGCAAACCTTGACCGTTACCAATGAAGATCTGATCAGGACCTTCAAAAGGTGTGGTTTGCTGTATGTTTTGAGAGGCATTGGTAACATGATAAGAAGCTCCTGAGTCTGGGAACCAGGCACTGCTTGGAACTGAAGTTGTGTTAGCAATCATAGCATTGGGAGTGATATGTGACTGAGGAACAGGGAGAGGGGCAAGTCTTGGTTGATAGCTTGGGCGTGACTGAGTGTTAACCATGGGCTGAGCAAACTGAGGTCCACCAATTGGTTGATACGGATAGAAATTTTGTAGGTTCATTGTTTGAAAATCAGCAGGTATGTTAGGTTGAAATTGTTGATTGAACCTATGATAGCAGTTAGCAGCAAGATGACCATATTTGAAGCAAACTTGACATTGAATGTTGCTGAACCTACCTCTCCCACGGCCGCGTCCACCACCACGGCCAGCTGCACGGCCTCCTCTTGAATAGGTTGGATTAAAGGTTGAATTCACAGCTTGTTCATTGTTCTTGTTATTCGAGTTATCAGTTTCAGGTTGAGAATTGGCTTGAGTGAGATTCACTGAGGCAGCCACCTCCATTTGTGAGTGTTTCTTATACTTGTTGTATCTCATCTCATGAGCAAGAAGAAGAGCTTCAACTTCTTCAAGTTCTACTGAATCAAACTTGCTTTCAATAACTGAAATAACAGAGGCAAAGTCTTGAGGAAGACCTTCAAGAATCACATCAATGTGTTGCTGATCTGGAACTGGATCTCCTACTGAAGCAAGCGCGTCAACAAGAGCTTTGATGCGAACCAGATAATCACCAACAGATTTGTCTTCAAGTGTTGTAGATCTGAGTTCCGCTCGTAGTTGTCTTGCTTTCGCACGTGTAAGCTTTTGAAAATGCGCAAGAATACGTTCCCAGAGCTCGTAGGAATGAACGCATCCAAGAACACGTGAAAGAATTGAAGGTGAAAGCGTGGATTGAAGCCACGTCATAAGCCACTGATCTTGCGTAATCCAGGTGCGATACGCAGGGTTCTCACGAGCAGCGGCACGATCTTCATCAGTCAGGTATTGATTCGGTATGTCACGAAGGTAAAGGTAGTTTTGAAGATTGTTCGCGTTAACGAAAGGATCTACTTGTTGGCGCCAAAGTAGGAAATTCTTCTCATCAAGTTTTTCTGTGATTTTGAGTTGGAAGGACATAGATGTTGGGGTGGCCGGAGCTGTAGTTACTGGAATCGCTGCCATGGATAGAACCGAAGCTCTATGATACCATATTAGAGTGAGATATGAGAGAGAAGAGAGAAAAAGTTAAAAGAGAAAAGAGAGAAACAGATTCTGTTATTGCTTAATTGGAAAGGAGCATTATGCTCTATTTATACAAGAGGAGATGAACATTCAAGAGTTGAATCATTCAAGCTCTACAATTAAGGAAGACTTTTCTTATTCTATTAAATTAAGGCTGGACTTAATTATTCTATAGTGCTGATTATTCATATTCTAAGATATAACTCTAATATCCTGATGCCCCTCCTAACTCGCAAACAGAGCTTAAACGTTGAGTTTTCAGTGTCTTTCCATTTAATTGACTGTTTTTGGTTACAAACAATTCTTTCATTTTTGGGGAAATAACGTTTATAATTTGTTGTCAATTACCATTGTTTGATTGAGTGTATTTAGTAGTGTGCCGCTAGAGTTTTCTAACAATATATTACAACATACTTGTGCAGAATACTGATCCTATCTCTGGTCTATCCGAATCCTCATCAGAACATGATTATACTGAATCAGAACATAATCACGGTGTGGTTGATGTAGCAATTGCTGAAAGATTGTTTGTAACAGGTGTTCTTGATGAATTAAAGGTTTGCTTCAGTTATAGTTACCAGGTTAGCCATTGTGTTGCTTTTTTCTTGTATTAGTTTCAAATCTGCATTTTCACTTGTATTAAAAATATGCTTTTTTTTGTAGTCTGATCAGAGCTTAATGAAGGTGCTTTTAAATGAAGAGAAACGTTTATTTGAATTTCGAGCAATAGGTGGTCAGGTAAAATAGCTAGATTGTTGTTTCTTAACAAGACTCTTTGTCTTCTCTTTTCTGAGGCACTTATATTTGAACAGGTGGAGGTTTCTATCCGCGAGAGTGACATTTTCATTGGTACTATCTTGAAGTCTCTGGAAATAGAAGATTTAGTTTGCTGTAATAAACAATCTCAGCCTTGTTTTTTGGCAAGATCATTTATTGGAAATGCTGACGAGATTTCATTATTATATAATACCACAAGAGAAAATGTTGATAGTAGTGGAATAATTCCTCTGGAAACTGATGATAAGTTTTATGAGGCACCCGAAACTTTGGCAGAAAGTGCTGATTATTCTTCTTTGGAACTCCCAAAGTTCAGTCGCATTACTGGACTTCTACCTAGTGATGCTTCTTCTACTAGTACTAAGGAACTTAGTGACACATTGGAGAGTTTTGTTAAAGCACAAATTGTCATCTATGACCAGAACTCTACTCTGTATAATAACACAGATAAGCAGGTGAGTGTCTATGGGTTTTTGCAGATTGCTTTCAGTTTTATGTGGTTTTTTCACCAATATTTTATTATATCATTTCAGGTTATAGTGACTCTTGCTACCCTGACATTTTTTTGCCGTAGACCAACAATCCTCGCCATTATGGAATTTATCAATTCTATTAATATTGAGGATAGAAATCTTGCAACTTCTAGTGAGAGCTCTTCAGCCATTATTAAAAATGATGTATCAAGAGATCTGAATGATTTAAGTGCCACTACAGTTGAGGAACATGCTGTGAAGGGCTTGCTTGGAAAAGGGAAATCCAGAGTTATGTTCAATCTGACATTAAAAATGGCTCAGGCCCAAATCCTTTTGATGATGGAAAATGAAACCAAGCTTGCTTGTCTGTCTCAAGAGAGTTTGCTGACGGACATCAAGGTCTTTCCTTCCTCCTTTAGCATTAAAGCAGCCTTGGGGAATCTGAAAATAAGTGATGATAGCCTACCTAGCAGCCATTTGTATTACTGGGCATGTGACATGAGAAATCCCGGGGGAAGATCTTTTGTGGAGGTACTTCTCTCTACCACCTTATATTTCATTTAAAATGTGACCCCCATTGATTGAGTTTAAGTGTCATTGGTCACTGTATCCTATCGCTCTTGGTTAAAGAGGATTCTATTTGAACGAATGTTATTTTTCTTACCCGGGTCAAATGGTAATTTTCTGATATTATTTACTTTTATTTTTTTTATAACAATTTTTCTGATATTATTGATAGAGGAGCATGTGTTCTTAAATAGAATATAAGGTAATTAGAAAAAAGGAAACTCCTAATAAATACTCGATATTGCGCCCACTGTCAATTTTTTAATCAAGAGTCAATGATTCCGATAAATACAAATTATTCAGCTAATCAAGTCTCCTATTTATGGGCTTTCAATCCTATTTAAATACAAAATACACAACTAGTATGTACTGGTTCAGACACTCCTCCTCAAGTTGGAGAGTGGATGTTACCCATTCTCAACTTGCTGATGATAGATTGAAATGTAGAACCACATAATCCTTTATAAGAACACATTGTCCCATTATCATGTAGGGGTGTTTTGTGCAGTCTTTTTAGCATATTTTCCTTTTCTTATAGAAAAATGCATTGGACAGCCTGTTGAATTTTAAGCATTTAAGGCTCACTTTTTCATGATGTTTTTATGTAGGAAGATATCTTATCTTCTCTGGTTCAGATCTTTCCTCTTTTTTTCTCATTTAAAGGAAGATTTCATATTTTTTATTTTCTTATAACAATTTTGTTGGAAATAGAAAAAATAAATCGTATGTTTCCCACTAAAATGAGCATTTAAGTCTTAGGTTCATATATATTTAGATTCATGCATTTAGGGAGTTGGACTATTATTTAGTTATCCTTGTAAACACAATATGTAATTAATTATATAGTGTGTATAAATATTAAGGTTGCTGAGTGCTTTACTCACTCAAACACATTCAGAAAATTTCTTATTCCTATTTTTTACTAGCATCAGAGCTCCTATCTGGGGACTCTACTTCCGCTAATCATTCTTTAGAAATCTGACTGGGCATTTTTATGCTGTCAGAACACTTCAATCTTGACTGGGCAACACTTACTGTCAAAATTTTCCAATTAATCGCTATCTATACTTTTCCGGTAGCTGTCCGTACAGTTTTTTGCAGCCGTCGGTACCGCTCTGCACATCTTTCAGCCGCTGCCTGCACAGTTCCAGCCACTTTCTGCACAATTTCAGCCGCTGTCCCTATATTTTCTAGGTTGATTTCTTCATCGAATCTTGTTTTCTTTGGTATCTTATACATAAATATTTTGTTGCCGCTCCTTCATGATCAATAGTATGGAAAAGTTATCAGATAATTACAGTGTAGCGTATTCTGGTAAGTTTCCACTCTCATTTGAGTTTCATGTCTCAAAAACACCTTGTTTATTTTGGATATTAGATTCAGGAGCTACAGACCACATGACACCATCTTTGAAACAATTCTCCACATATTTCCCTTGTCCCAATAATAAAAAGATTTCTACTGTAAATGGTATTCTTGTAACTGTAGCGAGCATTAGAGATATCCAAATAAATCATTCTATAACCTTAAAAAGGGTCTTCCATGTTCCAAAACTATCCATGAGCCTTGTCTCCATACAAAAACTTACATAGGATTTATCCTGTAGTGTTACTTTTCATAATGATTGTTGTATATTTCAGGATAAGGAGTCGGGGAAGACGATTGGACGTGCTAGAGAAAAGAATGGCCTTTACTATCTTGAAGAACTAGATCAGTGTACAAAATGTCACTTGTCTCATTCATTTATGTCAAAGTTTGTACTCTCTAAAAAGGAAAAAATATTTCTTTTTCATTGTCGATTAGGTCATCCTTCTTTTGGAGTCATTAAAGTTTTGTTTCCATCTTTATTCAATAAGGTAGATATTGAAAGTCTCATTGTGATGTGTGCGAGTTTGCTAAACATAAGCGTTCACCTTTTCCATTAAACAATAAAAGAAACCTTTCCCCCTTCTATCTTATTCATTCAGATGTTTGGGATCCCTCAACCAATCCAAATGTAATAGGTGCTAGGTGGTTTGTTATTTTTATAGACGATTGTATCTGGTTACTTGGGTGTTTTTACTCCAAAACAAGTCTGAGGTCAGTACTGTTTTCTCAAAGTTTTTCTACATGATTAAAAATCAATTTGGAGTAAACATCAAAAGGTTTAGGTCTGATAATGGAAAAGAGTACTTCAATCATGTTCTTACTTCTTTCTGTCAAAAAGAGAGAATTGTCCATGAGTCTTCTTGTGTTAAAACACCACAACAAAATGAAATTGCAGAAAGGAAAAATTGGCATCTATTAGACCAAACCCGAGCACTATTGTTTCATCAAAATGTTCCAAAATATTTATGGGGGAGGCTGTTCTCACTAGTACATATCTTATTAATCGATTACCCTATAGAGTATTAGGGTTCAAGAGTCCTATGGATGTTCTTTCTTCCTTCTATTCAAATTTGTCAGTAAGTAGTAATCTTAAACCTAGAATCTTTGGGTGTGTCTCATTTGTCCATGTGCATAGTCAAGACAGAAAAAAACTCGACCCTAGAGCCCTAAGATGTGTTTTTGTCGGGTATTTCTCTACTCAAAAGGGATATAAGTGTTTCCATCCTCCATCTAAAAAGTTTTTCGTGTCGCGGGATGTTACCTTTCATGAGGAGGAACCGTACTTCACTCAACCTTATCTTCAGGGGGAGAATTTGAAGGAAGATAAGTTTGAAAATCTCGACCTTTCTGATCTTGAGTCAAATACACTCAATCTGTCTAGTATTAAGTCAAATACATCTGGCCATTCTAGTCATGAGTCAAATACACTCAATCTCTCTGGTCTCGAGTCAAATCCACCTAATTCTTCCAATTTAGAGTCAAATAGACCCAATCTTTCTGGTCCTGAGTTAAACACACCTGTACCAGACCCATTTGAGGCTGAAGAACTAAGAGTTGAGTCAAATCAATCAAATACACCACTTGCTGAACTTGGACCTTAAGTGGATGTAAGATATGGAAAGAATCTGGTTTACATGAGAAAGTCAAAGGCCTTTCCTGAATCGACACAAGTTTAAGAGTCTGACTCGATTCCTTCGAAGGAGGTAATTAATTCTTCTGAATTACAAGATAAAATGATGACCCAAACAATAGATAATGACCTAGACCTTCCAATTGCTATTAGAAAAGGTACCAGAAAATGCACCAAACAACCTTTATATCCCCTTTCAAACTATCTTTCTTTTAAAAAATTCTCACCTACCCATAGAGCCTTCCTTACAAACCTAAATGCTACTTCCATGCTTACTAATGTTTCTGAGGCATTGTCTGATGAAAAATGGAAGCAAGCCATGAATATCGAAATGGACGCATTGAAGAAGAATGGAACTTGGGAGTTAGTGACTTTACCAGAAGGAAAGAGGCCGGTTGGATGCAAATGGGTGTACACAGTAAAATATAAGGCTGACGGATCAATCGAAGATATAAAGTCAGGTTGGTTGCCAAAGGATTTACACAAACCTACGGAATTGACTATTCAGAGACATTTGCTCCCGTTGCAAAGATGAATACAGTGAGAGTAATTTTGTCACTTGCTGTCAATTATGGTTGGAATTTACAACAATTTGATGTGAAGAATGCCTCCTTACATGGGGAACACGACGAGGAGATTTATATGCAGGCATCACCGGGGTATGAAAAAAATGTGTCTGACAATATAGTTTGCAGGTTGAAAAAGGCATTATATTGTCTAAAACAATCACCTCGAGCATGGTTTGGAAGATTCACTAAGGTTATGACATCTTTGGGGTACAAGCAAAGTCAATGGGATCACACCTTGTTCATCAACCACTCGCCACAAGGGGGAGTAACAATTCTGTTAGTATATGTGGATGACATTATAATGACAGGAGATGATTGGGAGGAGCAACAAATCTTGAGTCAGTGTTTGGCTAAGGAGTTTGAAATAAAAACTCTTGGAAAGCTGAAGTACTTCTTGGGAATCGAGGTGGCACATTCTCGGAAAGGAATTTTTATATCTCAACAAAAATACATTACAGAGAATGTGCAGTAGATAAAGAAATGTATCAACATCTAGTTGGGAGATTAATTTACTTGTCTCACACTAGATCCAATATTGCATATGCTATAAGTATGGTTAGTCAGTTCATGCACTGTCCTAAAGAAAACCATTTACAAGCAGTTCATAGAATCCTACAGTATCTTAAGGGAACTCCAGGAAGAGGAATTTTGTTCAAAAGAAATGGAAATATAACCCTTGAGGCTTACATTGATGCAGATTATGCAGGTTCAATTGTTGATAGAAGATCCACTATAGGGTACTGCACCTTTCTTGGAGGAAATCTTCTGACTTGGAGGATTAAGAAGCAAAATGTAGTAGCCCGTTCTAGTGCAGAAGCTGAATTTCGAGCCATGGGCACAAGACATTTGTGATACTTTGGCTCAAAATTATTTTAGAAGATTTGAAAATCAAATGAGAAGGACACATGAAGCTCTATTGTGATAATAAGTCAGCTATCAGTATAGTACATAGTTCAGTTCAACATGATCGAACTAAGCATATTGAGGTTGATAGACACTTCATTAAAGAGAAGCTTGATAGTGGGCTGATTTGCACCCCATATGTGTCCTCACAAGGACAACTTGCAAATATTCTCACTAAAGAATTGAGTAGCACTAATTTTGAACGAATTGTATCTAAGTTTGGAATGGAGAATACTTATTCACCAGCTTGAGGGGGAGAGTTTGAAATAGAAAAAATAAATTGTATGTTTCCCACTAAAATGAGCATTTAAGTCTTAGGTTCATGTATATTTAGATTCATACATTTAGGGAGTTGGACTATTAATTATTTATCCTTGTAAACATAATATGTAAATAATTATATAGTGTGTATAAATATCAAGGTTGCTGAGTGCTTAACTCACTCAAGTACATTCAGAAAATTTCTTATTCCTATTTTTCACAAATTTTTATTTATTTCATCAAGATGTTAAATTGCTAATCACTACTTTACTCTGATTTAATAATTTGTAATAGATTTATTATCATATAAGCCTATTGCTTTCTAGAGGTTGAGTTTTGGAGATAACTACACTCATTTTTTATTTTCTTGTTTTTTATCGTTTGACTAATCCTATTAGTTATTGCATTTTTTTAAACGAGGTATTCTATTTCCTTCTCATAAATAGACTTTACAACTGCAAAAGATGATGAACCTTTACTTTGTAACTTCCTATGTTTGGTTCAATATAATGACTTTGTTGTTCAATGTCTGGATGACATTGTAGTTGGAGTTCACATCTTACAGCAATGATGATGAAGACTATGATGGTTATGATTTTAGTCTTTTTGGAGAGTTTTCTGAAGTGCGCATTGTTTATCTGAATCGATTTGTGCAAGAGGTATTTTATCGAATGGTTTGAGCATTATGTATTTTGTGCACATAGTTATAATATTTAATGTATACAAAAACACGTACAGGTTGTTGGCTATTTTATGGGTCTTGTTCCAAATACCCCCAAAAGTGTCATCAAAGTGACAGATCAAGTGACAAATTCAGAGAAATGGTTTTCAGCTAGTGAAATTGAAGGATCGCCTGCTGTGAAGTTTGATCTCTCTCTCTGGAAGCCAATAATATTAATGCCACGGAGAACAGATAGCCTTGAGTAAGCTGAATATTTTAGTTTTCTATTTTCATTTTGTTGAAATTACAGGGTTTTAGATAACGAGGGAAGGTATAAAGAAAGAGTTTAAATTATGAATCATAGTTTTCCTTGAGTAAGCTGAATATTTTAGTTTTCTATTTTCTTTTTGTTGAAATTATAGGGTTTTAGATAACGAGGGAAGGTAAAAAGAAAGACTTTAAATTATGAATCATAGTTGTCGATTGTATTTATAGATTTAGGTCCTGTTGCGAGTTAGGAGAGGAGGGGAAGGGAGGGTTTCGGAAAAAAGTTATTAAAAAAATTGAGAAATCTTTCACATATTTTGAAGAATGATTTTTGTATAGAACGATATATGGATGTTTATCATTAAATTATTTTTAATTTTGAGAATATTATAATAACATAGATTATATTTTGAACAATTTATCTAAGCCCTCCAATACAATTTTTGAGATCTCCCAAACTAGAGGAATTTTATATTATGAGTAAAAATAGACCCCTGAAAACCCTCTCCTTATAAATCTCTTTATTCTTTTAACCCAATCATTCCCTTTTCTTCAAAAGACCTCCCCTCTCATCCTATCCAAATTCCCAAACAAAGTCATGAAGTATAATGTCATATAATAGTTTCTTTTATATAATAAATATATGCATATATTTAGTAATATTTATATTTTTAAACCTTTTAATAAATGTGTTTAGTAATATTTTAAATATAATATTTATTCTCATGAATTATTTTGATTTTTTCTTTTATGTTTTCTTTTGTAAATATTTAATATTAAAATATTAATATAGGAATAATATGTAAATATTCTTTTAGCATAGCATATATCCAGTAAATTATTCCTTAGTATTAATCCTTTGTAATTAAGACTCTTTATTTTATTATCATTGCCTATATAATAGAATTTCCATGGTGCAGTCTAAACACACGGTTTCACCGAATGTCTCACGATTTCTCTTATTTTGTCTTTCACTATGCTATTAAAACCTACTATTGTTATTTTTCGTAATATTAGTAGTAATTTATGTTTGGATCTTTTGTAAGACCCATTAGGTTAGAATACTCTATATATAAAGATTAGTACTTGTATATTCAACAATTTAATATAATATTCAGATTTTAAAAGTTTCAGATAGTAATATGTTGCATCAGACAGTGTTTAATATAGTTAATGTTTAAGAGTGATTCAGTTTAATCGCATAAGCTGTTAAGCAGTTACTCAATTGTGGAATGTATTTCTTTAACATTATGTCGTTGATACTTCTGCCACAGTTTTTTGAGGCTTGACATTGTTCATATAACTGTGAAGAACACCTTTCAGTGGATTGGTGGAAGTAAAAGTGAAATCAATGCAGTGCACTTGGAAACTTTAATGGTTCAGGTGAGACTGGTTCCCTATCATAAGTGTTCACATATTTTCTTCTTCTGGAGTAATATTACCACTTTTAAATTATTTTGTTTTAATAAGGTTTGTGTCCCAACTCTCGAGTGTAGGTTGAAGACATCAACTTAAATGTTGGAACTGGAACAGACTTGGGCGAAAGCATAATTCAGGATGTCAATGGGCTATCAGTGATTATTCATAGGTCACTCCGAGACTTATTGTGTCAGTTTCCAAGTGTGGAAGTCATAATCAAGGTAATGCATTTCTTTTTCATATGAAATGCTTCTCAACAACGGGTAGCCGTTCATTTAAAAATGCAATGTCATTATTTCCTCTAATTTCCACTTAGTAAAAGCTTGATATCCATATGATGACGTATCTTGTATTTGATATTATGATTCTCAAGATTGAAGAGTTGAAAGCGGCATTATCAAATAAAGAGTATGAGATTATTACAGAGTGTTCTATATCCAACTTTTCAGAGGTTCCACATATTCCTCCACTGCCAAATCAATATTCCTCCATGGTATTAAATAACGCAACTGTAGATATTGTCCCCGAGGTTGCAAGTGGTGATGCTTCACGGACCTCAGTTGTTGAGTCCTCTACTCTTCTGAAAGTTTGTGTGTCCATAAATCTGGTTGAGTTGAGCTTATATACAGGGGTAACAAGAGATGCATCTCTGGCCACCGTACAGGTGCATTGTCTTTTTTACCAGTATATTTTTATTACTCCTTAGATTATCTTTCTTTTTTTCTTTTGATGGAACCGTATTTGATAACTAAGAGGATAAACTACATAGTTCATTTGTCAAAAAATGAATTTTAAATTGAATAGAATAACAATAAAAACATATATTCATGGTTTGTGTGTACATTCACTGAGGGTTAGGGATGACAATTTGACCCATCCCTAGTGGCCACCCCGCAAAAATATCCAAAATGGGTAGGGTAAAAACCCGCAAAAATGGATACAAATTGGACTTGGTAATTACCCACTAAAATAAACGGGTATGGGTGCGGGTATGGGCACCTTAGTACCCAACCTGCCCCATACCCGCAATCAAATGATGAAGGATGATAGTACAATTAACTATTGAATTGTTCTACTCTTGTTTCTCTTGTGCAGGTCAGCAGTGCATGGCTACTGTACAAATCCAGTACAGCAGGAAATGGATTCCTTTCTGCAACACTACAAGGTTTCAGTGTTTTTGATGACCGGGAAGGAGTTGAACAAGGATTTCGGTTAGCAATAGGAAAGCCTGAGAGCATTGGAGCCAGTCCTCCAAGTACACTGTCGTATTATGAAAATCAGGAGTCAATTGATAGTAGCTCAAGTAAAGGGAATAATTTTGAACCAGTTCAAACAATGCTCATTGTTGATATGAAATTTGGTCCGGATTCAACATTTGTTTCTGTGTGTATCCAGAGACCTCAGTTACTTGTTGCACTAGATTTTCTTCTTGCTGTAGTTGAGTTTTTTGTTCCAACAGTCAGCAGTATGCTATCATTTGAAGAACACAATTCCTCCATGCTGGATGCAATCATCATAGATCAGTCTATCTACAAGCAACCTTGTGCTGAATTTTCCCTCTCACCTCAAAAGCCTTTAATAGTTGATGATGAGAATTTTGATCATTTCATTTATGATGGGGATGGTGGAATTCTATATTTAAAAGATGGGCGGGGTTTGAATCTTACATCAGCTAGCTCAGAGGCTATAATCTATATTGGAAATGGGAAAAAATTGCAATTTAGAAATGTTGTTATTAAGGTTTCACTGCCTCACTTTATCCATTTTGTTCTCTGACTACTCTATGAATTTAAGATTTCGATGCATGCCCAAACTAATTTCCCTGGTTATCTGTTTGCAGGGTGGACAGCACTTGGATTCTTGTGTTTTTCTTGGGGCAAATAGTAGTTATTCAGCTTTAAATGATGACCATGTCTATTTGGAACAATCAGTTGAAAGTCCTCAGGCAATATCTCCGAGAGGTAGCGTGCATGAAGTACCATCCCAGAATAATGCAGCTAATAGCTCTGCGGAGGTTATCCTTGAGCTTCAGGTTAAGTGTTGATAAAGTTAAATATTTATACACTTGCGAATTATTGAATGTGTGGTTGATTGTAATGATGGGAGAGTTGTGTAAGTGTACTTTTGCTTGGAGTTGTGGATTGTTGTTAGCGACATTCATATAAACAACCACTTTTAGCAAACTGTTGGAATTTCACCCTTTCATACCATTTATCACGAGGTGTGAGTGAATACATAGATAATACCACATCATGGTTTACCACAATGAAAGATGACTTGAGTATATGTTTATAAGTAGGGACAATCTACATCTTACAAGCTGGTTTTAAAAGGTTGAGTTAAACTCAATTCAATTTCTAAGATGGTATTAGAGTCTATTCTAAATATGTTGTTGGATTTCCCGCATCGTCCACACTTCATGATTGGCACCAAAGAGGGGTGTGTTGGAAATTTCGCCTTCGTTGCACTCTCCCCTTAGCCACCTAATTGTTGCAGCCTACAACCCTTTCACCGTGTTGGGTATGAAGGGATGATTTAGTCCCAACCAAAAACTCTCAGACTAACTATTGGATGGACTACTTTTCATTCCGTCAACCCTTCTTACTAAGGTTCTACGGGTAATTCCCCACTCATTTCCAAATCACTCAATACAAGAGTCAAATATTTTTTAGAATGAGTGCTATTCCAGTTTTCTTTTTATTAGTTGTATTCTTAATGTGAATACTTGGAATTTAGTAAGTTGCTCTCAGATGTTCTTCTATATACCCTCAATAATAAACACAATTTATATTTACAAGGAGATTAATAGCATAGATACTTCATTAAGTGCACGTGTGATATTCTCTAGTTCACAGCCTGACTACAATAGCTACAACTGTCAATACTAATTACCAAAAACTACTTGGAAGTGTGGAATATTAATATGGTTCTATTTCCAACTCGGACTCCTATTTTTTCCTTTACACTAACTTCTTATGCATCCTAACATTGTAATATTTGTAATTTTAGTTCATCTACACCCCTAAACTCAGTTCATTCTATTGTTTCGCTAATCATTTGTAGTATTGTAGCTATTTCTTAAGTGATAAATTCCTAATAGTAAAATCAATCCAATAGAACCCACCCGTTTGAAGAAAACAATGATAAATAGACCAAGGGAAAATCTATTATCAAAGTAAAAGATCTGCCATCAGCTGAAACAAACAAGTATAAATCCTATGGTGACAAAGAAAAGGGAGTTTAAGGAATAAATCTCTGAACAGAGTTTCCTTCTCACATATATTGGTTTGGAGTCCTCTTACAAGTGGTTTTCTCTAATCCTACTATGAAAATATTGATTTTATTCATTTTCCCAAAAGTTGCTTTCCTATTATTATTTCAACATTTTAATTATCTATCATCTTTTTTACAGAAATTAATTACTTATCATTCCTTCTATAACCGCTTAAAACTGACCCACTAACCCTAACAGTTTTTTTTCTCCTTGAGTATACCCTTGGAACCTCACTCACCCAAGTGCAGGATCATGTCGTGACATTTTGCATCTTGCATATTTTATTTTTATGCAGTAAAATATATTGTCCTTTTGGTATGAAATTTTCAACAAAGACAATTACCACAACAAGTAACGGTTCTCACTTACAAGTATCTTGTTTGTCTTTTTTCTATTTTAATGTCTTAGCCAGAATATCTGTTTGCAGGCTGTTGGTCCAGAGCTTACATTTTATAACACATCAAAAGATGTAGGGGAATCATCAAACTTGTCTAATAAACTTCTACTAGCACAGTTGGATGCATTTTGCAGGTGAGTTTTTCTTTGGTGAATTGCATTTACATTATCCAACACTTTAACCATTTATACTTCCAATAATTACTTGTCATATAAAAACAACAACCAAGACTTATTACATTAATATTTTATCGCCAACATGGATCATGTGACACTATAATATTTTATTTTTTATCGTATCTTTATCCAATTCATTAATCTCAAGATCTTTGTTAATAGTTTTTCTTATAATTTTTCTAGGTCCTCCTATACCTCTAGTGATTTGACTACCCTCCATCTGATCTACTTTTCTTACAACAAAGTTTATTGGTCTTCTCTCTACATGGTCATACCACCTTAATCGAGATTTTACCATCTTTTCTACGATAGGTGTTACTCCAACTCTTCTCTAATGTCATTTTTAATCCTATATTGTCTAGTTAAGCTACATATCCAACACAACTTTCTCATCTCTCTTATGATTATTTTATTCTCGTGTTGGTTTTGTACCACCCAACCTCAGCCCCACGCCTTAATTGAGTTTTTACTATCTTTTCTACTATAGATGTTACTCTAACTCTGTCTAATATCATTTTAATCTTGTGTAGTCTAGCTGCACATCCAATGCAACTTTCTCATCTCTCCTATGATTATTTTATTCTCGTGTCGGTTTTGTACCACCAAACCTCAGCCCCACACCTTAACTGAGTTTTTACCATCTTTTCTACTATAGATGTTACTCTAACTCTCTCTAATATCATTTTAATCCTATCTTGTCTAGTCTAGCTGCACATCCAATGCAACTTTCTCCTCTCTGCTATGTTTATTTTATTCTCGTGTTGGTTTTGTACCACCCAACACTTAGCCCCATACAACATTGATGGTTTGACAACCTGCACAATAAAATTTTCTTTTGCTCGAGCGGTAGTTTTATATCACATAAACACTTGAGACTCTCCTCCATTTCAACCACTCCATTTAAGTTTGATGATTTATATCTCCTACTATTTTTCTATCGTTTTTTTCACGAATCGAAGATATTTAAACCGTGTAAATTGTGTAAACATGTTTATGACATGATCTCCAACTTTCATCACTAAGTCACATGTGTACATTGGCATATGACATTTATCCATGCACCTAGGAAATCAATAGCTAGTTATATGCCTAGTAACTCACATTCATGGACTTCAGACCCAGAAACCACATTTAATGTCTTTATAAATCTCACATTATATTTACTTTCTTGTGTGTATAATAATCAAGCATTCCACTCAAGCATTCCACAACTATTCAGTCTTTAATAAAGCTCAAATCAAATCCTAATAGCATTCATTAGATTTAGTTATTATGCCTTGATTTCCCTATTTATTTTGGGTTGGGAATTTTTAATATGAATCTCTAGTTCTGCTGATTAGGCTTATTTCTGCTGATTAGTATTTATTATTTTATCTATTTTTAATAAGTATTTAGAATTTTTAAATTTGAATTTCATTTTTTTAGGATAAGATTTAGGTTTAAACAAAATCTATCTATTAACTAGGATGGTTATCATTTAAATTTATTTAAATTTAAATGATAGTAATTTTAGGAAAAATAGTTATTGACCTAATTTAATTAGAGATTCTTATTCTACTGTAAGCCTATTTAATGGCATTCAGATTATCTATAAAAATCAATCAATAATTATTAACAAAAAGGTATTTGTGAATTTAAGAAGAAGCTCTGTCAAGTACGAGCCCGCTTCTATCATCACCATAGGTCGAAGCAACGCTTCCACTGAAGGGGTAAGAAAACACTTAGAAAGGGGTTGAATAAGTGACTCTTTTTCTTTTCAAAACAAAGCTCAACAATAATGGAATGACAAGGTTATTTTTATCCTGGTTCGTTTGAACTCAAACTATTCCAGTCCACCCGTCAAGGTGATTTCGCCTTTCTCAACAAGAACTTAATCCACTATAATCAATTGATTACAACACTATAATCAACTGATTACAAATACACAACAACTGTTGTGACTAACAATGCACAAGTAATCTTACAAGTGAATAACACCACTAAGACTTAAATCTAGTCCTAGTCTGCTTGAGAAATCTGACCAAACTTGGTCTCTCAAGGAACAATTACAAGAGTTTAATCTTTACAGATAGTGAAATAAAATTTGCTTCTAAACAAGCTATATCACAACTGTGATTTTTCACTTAGAATAAATTGCACAAAGTGTATGAACAAAGAGTTTGTAAGCCCAGAATTTTTCACGTAGTTTCTTGCTTCTTTTTTTAAAATTGATTGGTTAGTTGACTTGCAATAAATGTCTTTCTATATATAGTAAGAACAAAATGACCGTTGCTGCCTTCATAAAAGTGGAGAGCATTAAATGTTTGCGTGTTTCTTTGCACTATTCTATTTTCCAAGAAACTAGCTTAGACACTTGAGTGCTTGCAGCCGTCTTTGCATTAATGAGCAAACGACAACTTGTAAGACCATGTTTCCTTCGCTTGACAAGACAGGTTGGCTTTAACGTTCATTCAAAACTTGCTTCAACGTCTTGTATTCAGAACATGTTTTACTCATCTTCTAGGCAGTGCTTTGCTTGCTAAGAACTTGATCAGCGTTTGCTTTCAAGTAATCTTCTGAGCAAGGAAACCTGCTAAATGTTAGAAGATACATTTAAATACATTGTCTTACCAGAGTCGGCAGATGCACTTAAAACAAAAAAGTTCTTTCATTAAAGAACTTCTTCATAATTTTTAGCTTAACACTTCTGAATGCTTCTGTCAGAATATTATCTGAAACATTCAAATACGTTCATCAGAGTATAAATTATCTAAAATATAATTTATTGTTATCATCAAAACTCTGAGATAGATCAGAACTAATCTTGTTCTAACAATCTCTCCCTTTTTGATGATAAAAAAAAATTATTCAGATATAGAAATAAAATATGATAAGAGATAAGAATCTCCCCCTGAAATGAATATTTCTATAAATAAAACTTTCTGAGATTATCAGAGCAATAAAAAAATTTTTCTTGGATTTCTTCAGAACTTCTTTATGAAGATAATGTTCAGCTGGAATACTCTTTCAGAGTTAAAGTGATACCTGCAAAAAAAATTCTTTTGCGCAGAAAGAAATTTTGTATTTTGTTAGAATGTCTGAGACTTAGTCCCATAACTGTTAAACAGTGATTAGTTCAAAATATTCATTTTCTTCCCCTTTTTGGCATAATCAAAAAGTGTATAAATAAAGATAGTTGAAGAGCTTAAAAGTTTTCATAAAATAGCAAAAAAAATATCCAAAAGTACAAAACAACAAACAAAAGATAAGAAACAGAAAGACACTAGGATTTCTTAGTAACAAGAGCCATCAAAAGATTCTTTATCTCAGAGGCAGATTCTTCTTGTTTCACCATCCAGTTCTTGTTTTCTTGATTTGTTTGGTCTTGCTTATCCAAGCGTTCATGTATGACTTCATTCTCCCTCTTGAGCTCATTCAGAGTGTCCATGATAAGTGAGGTAGGAGCAGAGGATGACGAAGCTTCAGCAGAAACAGGCTTAGAAGCAGCAACCGTTGAGTCAGAATGTACGAAGGTTGAAAGCAGAGTGCTCAGTTCCATTGCAAGAGTTGACACAGGTTCAGGTTCAGCCTTAACAGAAGGTTGATTCAATAGAACAATAGCCAGAGGGTTTGAATCGTCAGAGGCATCTTCAGATTCATCTTCTGATATGTCCATTGTTTCAGCTGGTGTATCAGCAATCATTAACGAATACTTCTTATTCCAAATGTCAGTAACTTCTGTCTTGAAAGCATGCAGATGTTTGGAAAAGTTGTCCAGCACCTGAAAATAGCATAAGTCCTGTAGTTTCAGTGACTCAGCATCAAAAGTTCTTCTGAAGGTTTCCCATAGAAGATCCGTTGCAGTTGTGTTCACGCTTCTGGAGCAATCTTCTTTCAGTAGATTCAACCATGCTTGAACATCTGTTAAAAAATTCTGAAACAATGTATTCACATCTGGCTGAACAGGTTTTGGAACAGCCTTCTTGAAAATTTTGTTTTTCAAGAATTGTAGAGATTCATAATCCACTACAGTTCTTAAAAAGCTAGCAGGTTCAGAATTTTTGGTTGGTTCAGGAGTGGCTGAATGATCAGGTTGGTCAACAAAGTTAGGTGGTGTTGATTGTTCATGAGGTTCGGATGTTTCAACAGTTTCAGGTGGTTCAAAAGATTGTTGTTCTGGAATATGAGGGGGTGAGAGTATAGGTGAGTTTGGTGTTGGATGTTGTGGTGAAGTGGGTGGAGTGACATCAGGTGAAATTATTATTGTATTTTCAGGAGTGGGAATGGGGTTCTGAGGGTGTGGTCGATTCATAGCAAAAATGTTTTCAGATGATAAGTTGAAAGGAGGCTTTATAGTGGCCATAAGTTCATTTATCCCTGGAATTCTCCGAGAGCCAGCATCATACCATCCAGTGGGTCTGAGTGATAGAGGTTTGGGAGGAGGTCTTGAAAAGCGTTCAGCAGGAATGGGTTGAAAAACAGATGGTTCAGGGGGTTCTGAGTGTGAGGGTTCTGATTAAGAAGGTTCTGATTGGGTGTCAGAGTGTTCATCAGAGTCAAAGTCACTCAAATCTGATAAAATTTGATTTTTCTGAGGGTTGTCAGCAAGAGTCAGATGGTAAGGCTATTAACCAACATCTATATCTCCTAAGATTTGGGAGGGTTCAACAGATGTAGATACATTGACAGAATCATAAACAATGATGGTTTCAGCAGGTTTACCTGTCTTCTTTTTCTTCTTCTGAGGAGTGGCAGAAGGTCCTTCAACAGCTTTCCTCTTCAAAGATTCCTGGAGAACAACATCTGGAGCAGCTTGATTTCTTCCTTGAAGTCAAACTGGATCAATAGGTGATCCTGTTTCTTTGCAGATTTCAATGTAGTGCAGGATGATGCGTGGATGATCTCCTGAATTGAACAGAGGGAAATCAGCAATAGGTATCCTTCTTCTCTTCACAACAGCTGACACATACGGAGTTGGT